GCCAGCATGAATGTGCGACTGAAAATGAACCTGAAAAGGACTCAGGTCATGTTCAACAAATGTGTTACCACTTTACCTGTTTAAGTAAATAAACTTAAGCTTAAAGAAGTTCAAAACAACTTCTGTTTGGAACAGGTTATCTCAGCAACGGAGAACCTTCTATGCGAGTTCAACAGAAGAGCTTACAATGGGCATAAATCCGTCCTGAAAGATTGAAATGATTTATGTCTGAGAAACTGCCCTTGTGTTTAAAGCGGAATTTCTTCGATCGATCGGTACATGCTAACTGTCAAACTTGTGCATAGTAAACATAGACTCCAAGCTTGAGGCTATTCATAAACTGCTGTAGACTACGCAGCGCAGCATATATATATATCGAATGAAATGACAGAATTTAAATGCGAAAATTTTTTATTGTCCTTTGGGTTCAATCCCATTATCAAATCGTTGTGCACGATAAAGCAGCGCCGTATATTCTCATTAATTTGTCACTCCTCGCCGCTTTTTGTCACAATGTTCGTTTAGTCAATCGGTGACGCTCATATTCGGGCATTCGTTTTAGGGTATCATATGATGGAAGAGTGACTATCTCCTTAACGCCCTTCCACGGTCATAATTTCTGCTGTTGCACGTTAATTGGTTTCTATATTCGATCTCTGTTTCAAGCTGTTAGCTGTCATATGACATGTGCAGAAGATGGCAGTCATAAAGATAATAGAGTAGTGATTTCAAGCTACGCTGTGATTTCCGTTAAACCTAGATCTGCATCATTTTGTTGCCCAGTGTCATCACTTCAATGATAACGTGTCATTTTCTAGTACTTAAGCTTCCAACAGCCTTACCCCTCGGACTTTCCGTGAAAACTATTCCGTTGTTTATTTTTACCATCCCAGTTGTCTGCTAAGCAAGGTAATGACAGAATCTGAGCTGCGGTTTTTGTTCCTTTTTGTTCGGCGTTTTCTAAGCTTCTTTTAAAGCCATCGTATGCTTAAGGAAATTCTCCCTCATGCTTCGCCCCTAAATGCAATGATCTGCTTTGGACTTCACCTGTTCCTCCTTTTTGAGCATTTCTTTAACGCAGCCTGTAATTTGGAATGAAACTGAATTTTAATTTTGCACAATGTCTAACCGTTGTCTCTTCACTACATGCGGGCCCTTTTACTTTATTCTAATGTTTTTTTGTTATATTTTCAGTCTAGCGTTTTAACAATGGCCGAAAACTGTATTTATTGCCGAATGGCAAATTTGGCAGTCACCATCTTATTCTCTGGTTGTTTCCTTGCTCAGGTAACTACTTAACTCTCTACCACTCTGCACAGACATTAAATGTATGATCGTTGTAGTTGCTGACTGACGGTTGGTGGGTTTGGTTGGTAAGTAACTTTATCCTCAGAATTCTTATATTAAAGTACGTGTTTTCGCCCTTTAATTGACTATCTAATTAATAATTAGCTTGTTTTACCTGAGCTCTTGGTTGAGTTAATACTGAAGTATTTCGTTGATAGAATGTTGGACTCACGACGAAGTAATCCGTGTCGGATTCCCCTGTCAGAATTTTCTTCTTTCTTAGACTCGAAAATTAGACCCTTTTTTGGACGCTATACGATCAGGATGGTCAGATGATCGGGAAACTGTAGATGCAGCCGTAGAGAACATTTCGAAATTCGTTAATGGCACGTAAAAGGTGATTAGCGCTGCGCTATGTGAGGAGAAGAAGAATACTAAAAATGTGATCTAATGATGATAGTGTGATGGCGACAGGCATCCCAGATTGCAGACATTTTTCTAGTGTAGTTTCTTGTCAGACTTAACAGTCGGTCGGCAGCGGCAGTCACTGTCAGCACTGATTGGAAATGTACATGATCGAAGATTATAGTGCCAAATAATGGCGTTTTACTTCCTCGTTGACAGACTATTGACAATCAGCCTTCTTGTCTTTTCTGACTGCTTCAAAATCCTGATTAGAAACTTTTTTTTGCGGGGTGGGGGTGAGAGGTCTTCGTTTATCTTCACCTTTTATCTTACTCTTCCTCTTCGTCTCTTACCTCTGAAATTCAGAGGTACTTTCCTAGTTTCCTTGAACCAATAATTCACTGCATTGTACCCTGATTCTACTGGCTGAAAATCGGGCAGCTAGTCGTTGACTTGTGAATGATAGATGCAACACTATGTGCTGGTGTACTCATACAGGAATTGTCGAATCGTACTGCCATATTGCATGATGCGAGCCCCTCTTTGCTGGGCTACGGTTGACCTAGGCTCACAGGGTTTAAACTAATCCACCCCACCTAAACATTAGTGAGTTCTGCAACATTATGAATACGCGGAAATTCGGAAGGACTTTCGGAGGTGCCCGTGAATTGAACCGCTGCGAGGGACCTATTTTCAAATTATTTTATTTCTTAAATGTTATTTTAGCGAGCGGGTATGATGCCAAATTTCTCTCCCTTCTTTTGTCAACTGGGAAGATCTATTGTTCACGAGTCATATTGTCGTGATATTTCGTGATGTTTGTAGAAATTGTCAGTAGGTGATAGCCATCGACTAGGTGATTCATCGAAAACGTTTCAGATACCATTTTGGCGTTTAGCGGGGAGAGGCACTCATAGGAAACCATTGAATGCCATATACTGACTGCTGAGATGTTTTTCTTTTTTTATTGCGTTAAGAAATTTGCGCTATAGTCAAGTTGCTAACTGATTGCATTTAGAGCTATTTCTTTACATCATCTGTGTTGGCCGGAAGTTTGCTGTTTAGTCCGCAACTCAAAGGTATACTTCTAAATAAATGCGTAGGCGAGTTTCGAGATTTGTTCATACTTATAATTTCTGATTTGTTTTATTTGTATCAAAATTTGTTAGACTCCTTGCCTCATACATATGGCTATGAAATACCTAGCAGTTCTGAGAAATATAAGAACAGAGCATTTTGGCATCGTTTCCCATACTTGGTACTTGAGACACTCCTTTAGTTTGACCAATACCCCTCTGTTGAAAAGAGAAGGAAAAACATTGGGTTGTTAGCTAAGGAATCGTTTCGCGTGTCGGCTAAAAAGCTCGAAAGCTCGCTTCGTTTGATTGACAGCCAGCGACAACGTTATTGGCCAACTCGTTTGAAAGAATTAGTAGAACAAACGACAGTCTTCACATTTCAGAAATTTTCTCGGCATCATACATTATTACTGTGATGAAGGCAACAGTGTGAGGGCAACAGTGTGAGAAGTCAAAACTCATCGGTATATTGGCGATTTTACATCGTCTTATTAATGGCTGTCTTCATCGTTGTATCTGTTATGCCAGCAGACAAAGTATCGATGCTACCTTCCGCACTTACTCAGTGCACCGTATTTTTGCCATTATGTGTTCTTTATAGGTTGTTTTGCAACATGTTCTCATTTTGTTATTTTGTTTTTCTTTATTCTTTCAAATTTTGTTGATATTCTTTGCTACTATTGTCCTAAGAAGCACTTAAATTCTCCAAAATTAAATTTCATTTTATGGTCTCGCTATTCTGTGATATGCAAAGCCAAATATTTTCGTTTTTGGGCGATATGATTTCTGTGAGACAAAATGATGTATCATCCCCTATCCAAAGTAATAAAGGCAAATATTCAAGATTTAATATGTTCAGTATGCCAGATATGGAAGTCTGTATTATCCAAGTGAGTGGAAAAAAATGTTGTTAGTTTTCCATTCCTGAACATTCTCCATCAGGCATCAGCTGGTCGTTCCGTCTGTTTACTCGATAGTCAGTGCCATCTTTTTAGGCTACTTTCTTCTGGGATTCATGCGAACTGTAAACCACGATGTTCAGTTGATTCTGTCTATATACCAAAACTGATATTCATTGCAGATGTCATTTAAACGGTGAAGCGACGGTCTTCATACGTCGATAGATTTTACAGTCAGTTCATTCCTTCATTCATGAATTTCATAATCAGTTAATTGATTCATTCATTCATAGATTTCTGGTCAATCACTTGGTCAGAGATTTTTTCGTTTCTATTTATTCGATTTTGACTTTGTCGTTTTCATTCATAGCTGTCGACTTAGTTGAAATGATCGAGGCATAAAATTCACATTTCAGGCCCAACTGTTTTTCTTCGTCTTCTAGAGTCTTTTCAGAACTCGCATTGAATAATCCAAGTTTCCATTCCATGTCACAACTTTTCCTCTTTTCAAAGTAATGACATGAGCGCTATTAACTCGGAAAGTACAGTAGATTTCAGTTACCCTTCAGTAACGAGGGTACTACTCGTAAATAACTGCAACAAGACGGAGATCAACGCAACACCATTGTATTCATGGATGGAAAGCAGTCCACATATCACTCATAGTGTAAATGTAAAGAAAACCCAGTATCCTCGTCACAAAAATAAAGTAAACGTCACAATAAGTAAACGTCACAAAAATTTTGATTTCTTCTATTGCTAAGTGATTCGCCCATCAGTGCTTCTTTGGTAACGTCTGTGCAACTAGATGCCTTCTTCTCTTGATGAATGAATAAGTTTTACGGCTTGAACAGAGTCCCTTATGGATATCATCGCACAACATGCTTACACATGTTCAGCAACTAGCATTATCCTCAGTTCAGTAGGATGGTGGCTTGATTTGAGTCAAGTTATTATACCGGAGTGGTCAGCTATTGACTTTTTAAGCGCCTTATTCCCTGATATCGTGTATGAAATGTTTCACGGTTCTTCTGTTCTTATTCCCTACGAGTCTTCATTCATCTTTCAGGTAATGCACGGCATGATGAAAAGAATGTCTTTGGAATTAATAGGTAAGTGGTTCCTAGCTCTTCTATTGAAGTGGTGTCCTTGGCCTGGACAGAATTTTCTTAAGAGGCTTGACAAACTCTAGTAGTCTTGGTTTACTGAATCGACCGACTGCTTAGCGATTGATGACAGGCCTTCAAGTTACAAGCGAATTGGATGTATGCACTGCACAGTACCATGCTCCTGTAGCACGATCCCATATTTTGGTTGTTCTGCGTTCTCCATGACGGTGATGTTGAGGCTCAAGTAAGGAGAGCATAGAGCACTCCAGAGACTTATTTTAGTTATAGTCGTTAAATTAAGTTATAACTTATTTTAGCTATTTTGTTAAATTTACTGTTCTAGTTTATATGCATTATTCTTTGAAGCATATGATGGCTGTTTTATAAATAAAGCTCCGTATGTCAGAAATAGTAATTTTGTTTTCTATTTATTTTTGCAGAATTACAAACTTTTAGAAACTAGCCGTTTATGGCGTTTTGGAAACTCTTTGATGGCCGTGTCCGGTTTTTTCTGTCTCCTTTTTATTTATTGGTCGACTAAAGATTATGTCAGGTACAACTTTGAAAACGTCTACTCGTCGACTGATGCCGGGTAATGAAAATTAATTTTAAATTTTACGGAGCCTCGCGTGATTTTCATGTGGTAAATTTTAGTTATTGTGGCGTATTGGCTTTGATCGTTATTTGGGGAATTATGTGCAGGTTATCGCTGAAAGACCGGTAAGTCAGTGACAAACGAAATGGTCTTTATTCAGAATCATTGCAGCTATAAAACATTTTGGTTATTCTGTCGTAAGGCTAGTGTTTTTCATCGTCACCTGCTGCATATTAATCTTAAGCAGCAAAGTAACTCAAGTTTATGATGTCTGATCAGAGGTAACTAACGACTCTAGATATAGCAGTTAAAATTTGAGGGATGTTTGCCTCCAGGGCAATGGCCTTTGAAGTTTTACAGTTTAGTCAGAATCACTGAAGGACTATGTTTTTCATATGGTATCAGTGCTTTGATCGTTGACATCAATTATCGTACCATAGGTTCAGGGTTGACATTTGAAATTAGTTTGTTCCATAATCTGCTCGTCACAACTGCAGTCGCATTACCGGTTGGGCTACATCTTCCAGCGGTGGAAAGACAGACAGCGATAACGACCGCGTTGCAATGGTGTATAGGCAAAATTTCCATTGCAGTAATGTTGCCTCCATAGTTCCTCTCACAAATCACATTGCTTCGTTGAGTGGCGTACCTGATTTCTTCTTGTGAATAACAGTATCTCTAAACCGGTCATTCAGTCATTGCTGCCATTACTGCAAACCAGTGATCACTGATCGATTCCCTTCTGGATGGTGGCTTCGCCAAGACTGCCATGCACATCTGTTTTATATCAGCCTTAATCCAGCGGACTTCTTCAGCTCATCCTGCAATCTGGACGTATTCCTACGCTCCGTTTATTGTCGTATTGAATGCAATCTCATGTCTCTCTGGTCCAGCGAATGTAGGTTTTCTTCTTGCAGCTTTTCCTATCATTTCAACTTCTTCATTCATAAAATTATTATCTTAAACCTATAGAATGCAAGAGACGACACTTTTAGGCAGGATTATTCATGGGGATACGAATCAAATGGGGTACCAGCTATCTTCTGTAGAACTTAGTTCTGATTTTGGTAATGATGAAGTTTCCTGGTGTAGCAGAACTCCGAGAGTAGCAGCCTGTTAAAGACGTATGAATATCCATTCAACGAAGGGAAGAGAACTGTAATAAATGGTTTACATAATGGTCTTAACCATGAAACCGCCTTCTTAAAATCTCGCGACTGCCCTGATCTATTGCCACGGGAGTACAATCTCACGCTCTGTTAGAACTCCAAAATAGACTGGAGAAGCATAAGGGAAAATTGACATTATACAGCATCGGGCGTAAATCACCAGAGCAAATCACAAGGGGCGGCAAGCAATCGTAGAAATAATGACGTCACAAACTCGTGTTTGATATCTTACCCATTCGCTCGTCTTTTATTTCTTCGTTACAACCGGCATACACCTTTCTACGTTGCGTAATGTGCAGTTTATGAATAATTTTTAATGTTTAGGATCCACCCATCGCATCCATAGGTTAGTACTGGGAGCACAGTTTGTTGATATATAGTGTGAATTATTCACTCGCTATTGTGTATATATTTTTATGTTCCTTTTTTGGTCATAGGCATACTACTGTTGTTTGTTTTAAATCTATTTTCTAATTTAGGACCGGTTTCATCGCCAAATGTCGCCTTCTCAGCAGCATCTTCATGTTGTCCGTGTCAGCGGTGTTGTTAGCTTGGGCTTTCTGTTGCTGCTCCTACGTGTTTTCGTTGCTCCCCTGTTGCTCACGAATTGTCATGCGCGAGAGTATAACCGATTTCAAGATGTAAATGTTCGGCAATCCCGTCTGACACCCGAACATGCGGTTTCAAATTAAATCGTGATTCGACTAATTTTATCATTTGGTTTTATCGCATATAATTAATTCCAGTCTGACTCCTGACATTTTCTGATTGACAGGCTCCTATATGACTGTATTTTTTGACTTTACGACTCCAGTTGTTTTGAATTGTTTTCATAGTGTGTAAATTTTATTAAACTGTTTCATGGTTGGTACTTGTCGTAGTTTGTAATTTTGCTTCTGAAAAAAGTAAAAAATAGCAGATGACATTATCCACTGTTGGACGCGCACGTTATATAAAGTGCACTTCCGAGGTAAACTGCCATTACACGACTTTCGTGCTAAGGAAATGGCAATCCGATCAATGGGGTTCAAGTTAACGGCAAAAGTTTTCTAGCCGTAAACGATCTAATTCGGGTGCCACTGGTCCGTTGTTCAGCTTCAAAATAGCCGCAGCTGTAAAAATTCATCTGCCAATGCCAAGCAAATGTAACAACCTCTGACTGAAGAAGCAATATTCAAAAAAAACAGTTGGTGACTACAGGCATGACAAAGAAGGGTCTACATTGTGATCAGAAATAGCACACACAATACAAATAACGTACTGTCAAACATTTGAACGAGCAATAATATTTCATAAGTACAGACATCTTCGCCTAGAAATTCTTGATTGTCAGGTAAATGATTTCTGCACTTGGGCAATAAAAATTTGGGAATGCTGAACATTGACGCTGTTGAATTTGTATTTTTATACAGCCATCAATTCAAATGGAGGAATACATGTCATTTTAGTTTTTTTTCGGTAGGTTCCTTCTGTCAAGAGAAATTTAATCCATCTGTTATCGTCATACTCCCAACAGATTATTTTAGGCTACTAGTTTGTCTCGAAGAAGCAAGTTTCTAGGATCAAGTAGTATCTTTCTGGTCGTGTACCGCTTTTTCTTGGACGCCTCACTGCTATGAAAGTAGTCAAGGAATAGTGTGATCAGAGCAGCATTCTTAAGAAAATCAGGGCCATTATTCCTGTATTCCATTTCAGTTGGTAGATTACTCTGATCTTCCTTAACACTCGCTTGGGTAAAATATTAATAAAATATTTTTTGTAACAACACTCGTCCATTGAATTACAGTCCCATCACGAATTTCAACTACTTCAGGCAAACATGTCTGTTTATTTGCCATCAAAGAACTGCATATAAGGTTTATGATTCCAACCTTCCGGTGGTCTGCACTCTTTACGGTTCATTTAGTAGTACTGCACACTGAGGAATAGCTTCTTTCCTGTTCGCCTTTCGTGATGGAACTTCGATTGAAGCTCTAGTTGCATATGCTTCGCCAGTATTCTTCTTTTCTACATGAATTTCGATCTGTTCAGAAGTCTCTCGGCATAGCCTGTCAGGTCTTTTACATGAATGTTGCAAACATCGTAGTAGATCAAACTGTAGCTTTTGGTAAACTTTTTTAACTGATGCCACCCATCGCTTGCACAACATCTTTTCAAAGTGCAACCAAAGGCTTTATTTCACAGTCACAACTTGTCTGAACCTAAGGGAGAACTGAAACATGTAGAAAATTTTGCAAATGGCTCAAACTATCGAATCAGGCATGGGAAATCTGAATCTGCTCGAATGATTCTTTCATGTTGACCATACGTTTATATAATCATCTGCATTAATTTTCTGTCCATCAATCGGTCTTCTTTACATCATTCTATATTGATTGCATTATTAGAATCTTCTTGAAGCAGTTTCTGATTGTCAACCTATAAATCACCAGATCACGTTTTCTTTATGCATGATTAGGAAACCCAAGCGTAAAGTACGTAAGAAAAGGTTTCAATGAAATTCGGTGCTTGTTATCAACATTAGTGTGATCGTCAAGGTTAACTAAATAACTTTAAAATTCAGGTCTACATTTTGGCAGAGCAAAACGATATTAGCTATGTTATTCCAAAAAGGTCCATTATAGAGGCCCCCTATTGAAAACTGTTAGTTTTTAACACCGCCGGTAAGAATAACATTCTTCCTTACCTCTCCGGATTTACACGATGTAGCGAAACGTCGCCTTGCCTCTAGCAGCCTGCGAAACTGCGTATGCATGTTACAACTCCATGCTCTTTGAGCACGTGGAGTGCATGGGCGATAAACAGCCACAGATATTGAAAACTACTAATCTGCTAGCATACCCATAATAACGTGGTTTGCTTTTGGCATATATGCCCACAAACTGAGACATATTCCTTGAAGTTCGAATATGTTTTTTTCTCCCCAGTAAACAATTAGTGCCCATACACTGCAAGTGCCTAAAGATCATGAAAGCGTCTGCTCAAGCGGTCGATAAAGCTATTAGAAATAAAAGGATGGTGCGCTCGCAAAGTGAACTATGAGAACTGACAAGAAAATGACAGTATTCGCTGTATTGTAACCGTACATTTTGTTTGCTGTTGTGCATTATACAAAATCCTTCGGTTAGCGGTTTGCGCATCGATCTACGTTAGTTCTGTGGTATGTACGTTGTCGATTTTTTCTTGTTTCACAAAATGGAAAATGGAGATATTCGGTCATTTCATTTAAATAAACAATTCTTCTTGTAATATGTCCTTGTGTATTTATACCTATTATACCAAACTTCAGGTGTGGCAGCGTGGCCGAGCGGTCCAAGGCGCTAGACTCAAGAAGTAATTCTTGCTTTCAATGAAAGTTGGGTATTCTAGTCAGTGTATACTGGCGTGGGTTCGAATCCCACCGCTGTCAAACCTTTTTCTTTGCTCCATAATCAATTTATGAATGATATTTAATTAAGGAAGACTCCACGCTAACTAAATCCATTCTCGAAAGAGTTATACGTTGTACAACTTCAAAGTGAAATATATTTGTGAAATCTTTTCACTAGTTCGTTGAATGACAATCCACCAAGACTTTGAACGTCTGAATGGTTCTCATCATTCGTACACAATCTTAGCTAATATTTTTGGCCAGTTGTCGGTTCTCTAGATCTAGAGATGCAATGAGAATGCCAGGGGATAGGTTTCCAATGCAAAATCTAATGATGAAAGCAAGCGGAAGAAACCCTGGGTAATCAACATACCAGGTGCTTTGATTATGGTGCAGATCCGACATTATCACGCCCTGAAATGCTATTTATTGAGTTTTAACATTTGATATAGAACCACAAGCACCGATACGGTCTCATGAAACAGCTTCTTTTCTAAGCCCTCAGCTCTTTGACAGAAAAACTCGCTGATTCGTTTATTCTTCTTAAGAAATGTGTATCACACTTCTAAATGTTGTTTCTGTTTTGCGGATTCTTCCCCGTCGAGTAGAACCCAACCGTTTTAAATGATGGTTTAGACTTCGTTGAGTTGATCATGTTCGACCACGTGTTTCACAGAGCGTAAAGCGTAACTCGTAGTGCATCGGCTAATTAAGACGCGACAATCAGCGCAGAGTCTATCCGGTGCACTGTCGTAGTTTTTCGTATTCGACGATGCAGCCATCATCGGCACGGACCGTTGGATCAATAGTGGATTAATGGAGGATAACGATGCTTGCACAAGACCAGACATGCTGACAAATCTCGAAGTGATGCTATTTTAAGCCTCTTTTCAAGAAGAGCGTCCGGCTGTACGGTCGACTGCGACGGTGGCCATTATGACTTCGTAACGGCGACTGGACACCGTAAATCCAATGTCCATTGCCAAACTTGTCTGCCTGAAAATGGCTGTTAAAGTAGCGTTATCGTTTTCACGATGACGGCATGACGTGCAGACGCATGGAAATGCAGCCCCCCGTCAATGACAACAAATTTGAAAGAATTCCCTCGAAGGAGAACCATTAAACCCAGTACGTACCGAAAAATTCCCATCATTCGAACGATGGTCTTAACGAAACTTTTACTGGCCTTGTTAGTAACAAACGATTTTGCCCCCCCCC